CATTCCTGTACCGATGGGCGGGGCAGGAAGCGAAGACCCAGGTGGGCAACAGCAGAGCAAATACCCTCAGCAAGGCAAAGCAATACAGAACGTGTTTTATAACTCTGTCTCTGAGGGCGCCTCTCTGAGCACAAAAGGTTCATCACACATCTAGATAAAAAGCCCTAAATCCTAACTCCCTAAAGTCATGGGTAGCACACTAGATGAAAAATATTACTGTGGTCTTCCTAAGCCAGAAAACCCTCTTCAGAACACCTAACCTTGTTAGAAGATCTTGCCATCTCTAAAATTCTGTGACTGGATTCATTACAACTCTTAGCATTTGGTTAAACATCAATCAGTAAATGTTCTATCACCCACCTCAAACATCATTCCACTTCCAATCCGTTCCCAGGTGCCCTTGATTAATGTGTTTAATCAAGGGTCACAAAAGGTCAACCAGTGAGAAAGCTCACCAAGGCTACCTACTGCGACAGTCCGTAAGATCTGCCCGCCCGACTGGTCAAAACCCAGGCTCCTGTTTCCTCAGGGACAGAAGGATGGAGCTTTCTGTAGGCAGAGACGTGCTCTCTCCTGTTTCCAAAGTTTGGTCTGACTGCCAACTCCCCTCTAACAGGCTGTGTACTCGTGATATCTGCAGGCCTCACCAGACTCCCTCCCTCTCCCTGCCACACAGAGCAGAGCCCAGTATCAGTTACGCTGATCCTAACAGACACACCTGAGGAAAAAGCAGGATGAATTCTGCTTCCCTCAACTGAAAAACCTTCTCAAAAAAACGAAGCTAATATACAGACAGAGTATTAACAAATTATTCTAACCACAGCTCCCAGCAGGCTCTGTTAGTCTAGCATCCTTATTAACGTACAACCTAGATTTTATTATAAGAGTTTTTAAAAAGGTCTCTTAACAAAGACTTTCAAGTCCTGGTAGATGGAAGACTTGTTCATCTCAAGTTATCACTGATACACCAAATACCACACTACTCAAATTATACAGTGGGAACTTATTGCAAGATTTAACTTTAAAAAAAGAGGAGATTCGACTGTTCAGTCTTTATGAGTAAGACGATCCCTTATTTTGCATTAACACTACCATCACTCAGATAATCCTAATACAGTTCTCAGAAAGCAACAGGTTCTCAGTCACTGCTAGTGAAATGTCTCACTTCCTACTTTTATTAAAGTATTTAGGTCAAGAAATAATGGTAGCTAAAGTTACTTCACAGCTAAATTAAAAAATGCACAAATTGTTATTGTATATATATTTTTCCTTAAGAAAGTACAAATGTTAAAAAATGTATCTATTTAACTTTCCAACCTTCTAAAAAGTGAAATTCCCGTGGCAAAAACCTATCAATATACTAAGCATAATAACAGTCATTAAAAGTCTTAGAAAATAAAACTTTCATCCTGTTTCACTTACGATCCTTTCAACACATATATTAATAAAAATCTATGATAAAAATAATGAAAAATAAGTAAATACACACGTGGAAGGGAAAAAAAGTTACTCAAAAGTTGCAAAAAGACCAGCTTACTTATTTGATCTCCAACTATCTCTTCCACAGAAACCCTTACTCCCTCTGAAGATTCCTTTTCACGGGCATTTTCTTAGATCTTACAACACCTTCGACTTCTTGGCAACACAACTGACACCCTCCATTTGTCCACGTTTCTGTTCGCGCCTCAACCAGCCTTAGGACTTCTCTGTTGTTACGTGTTTAACCAGGACATCTTCAGGCATCTACGAACTGTAATCAAATGGCTTTATAATTAAGTGCTGGATTCACATGGCCTGAAGACAAGCATAGGGCGCAGGAATTAGGATAGCTAGCTGGCACTGAATATTATGTGGATTCATATGTGCAAAACACGTTCATTAAAAAGCCCTAAGAAGAATTCCAGAATATAAACATTCCTTTCTCCACCCATCAGTTTTGAAGGCACAAAATATTGTAAAGAATTTGAACTTACTCTCAAAATAAACCTTCCAGAACCTCCTCCTGAGTCATCTGAGGCTCTAAGTACTGAAGGTGGAGCCTCTGAACTCTAAGTACTGAAGGTGAGCCTCTGAACTC